GATGTACAAATGCGCTTTACACAATTGATGTGTGTATGGATTGGGATAACAGTTGTATGAGCCTCTAATAAAATGTTAAAAAAAAAAATTAAACCCCCCCCAAAAAAAAGAAAAAGAAAAAGAAATCTGGAAACACTAACAGGAGTTTTAGAAGGATTTAAATTAATTTTAGAATGATTACAAATAAAAGATTTTTTATGAGTATGCTTACCAAAAACTTTTCCTTTGGACCTTCCAGAAACAGGCATCTCTTAGTCTTCTTACACCTGGAAGCTGCAGGCATAGGCACTCAGCACGCGTTGTTGTACACACAGGAGGACAATAAGTGTGCCCCTCAGATCTGCTACTTTAACACAATGACCTCATTCCCTAGTAACTCAGCGGGTAAATCAGATAAAAAATTCTTCCCATGGGGATTAAAAAAAGTAACCGGCTAGCAAGAGAAAGATGTTGTCCAATATTACTTATAGACGATAGACTAGAAAGTATTATGCAATACCAGGAGAATGAGGAGATAAGAATTCTTCCAATAGCTCTGAACTCTCTCCCATATTCTGTTTCAGGAACAGTGGGAGATTGGAAGAACCACTTCACTGTAGCTCAAAATGAAAGATTTGATGAAGACTACAAGAAAAACATGGCTAATACTACTCTAACTTTCAACTTCCAGGTCTAGTAAAGAAGGAAAAAGGAGTAGACATATATTTGATAGTTTATTACTCAAGCTAAATGAGATTGTATTCAGAGTCACTCACTAGTTGTTGGTTGTTTTTTGTTTTTTATGTTTTCTTTTTCTCCCTCTACTGGGGGAAAAAAAGGCAAGAAAGATAACAGCGGCTGGAAGCAAAGTGGAAAATGGTAAAGGGGACAGCAGTGGTAACAGAGGGGGAAAGAACTTCAATATATTAGTAGTAACAATTGTGATTTGATTGCTAATTATCACTATATTTACATTCTACAAATCATATGCTTGTTAACCTATTTTTTTAATGCTTAAGTTCTAACACAAAATACACTAAAGTTTTCAAGTTAGGTGTTGGGGCAAACTAATTTAAATATAGCACTAAAATGTTTAAGTAGTGACTATGCCTTATAGCACAGTCATGGCACCCACGTAACCGTCAAGAGACTCAGTTTCCCCAACCAGCAACCCAATTCATTTCAGCCACCTTTGTATAATATGTGTCCCCACCTCTCATCGCAACCTAGATAAGTAGACTCATTCTCCCACCTCAAGACAGTTTACCTCCACAACATATATTATTTCCACCCAACAATAGTTAACCTTTATTTAAAAATAGATTTATAGGCATATACTTTCGATGTCATACAAAAGTTCGATCATATTAAGAATTGTGCAATCATCACCATAATCAATTTCAGACAGAACATTTGTTTTCTTTCTCATATTTGTTGTTAGCTCCTTTCCCCAACCTCCACTGCCATGCTCCCAGGTAATTATTAATCCAGTTCCTGTCTCTATAGGTTTACCTATGCAGGCTTTCCCATACTCCTGGTTCAGAAGCATTTTATCTCTTGCCTAGACTAGTGTAATTATTCCCTCACTCATTTCCCAGTTCACACTTTCATGAAAAATTGAAGTGTTTTTTTTTTAATGAATACTTCAACCCAAAGAGATTGGTTGCTTTTCTGACGTTCTCTAAACTTGGAAGAAAATTACTTTGTGATTAAGATTAAAACGTATCATGGTATATAATGTATCGTTTGTGTTTGTTTAAATGTCCATTTGTTTATTTTGCTATATTCCACGGTACATGCACATTCTACATGCTGGAAAAGAAGTAAATGAAAGAATATATCGATCAATAAACCCTTTAAAAATCCTCACTTTTTCTCTCCCAAGTATAATAACCAGTTGTCACCAAGTCTGTTCCAACCCAGTGTGTTCCAGGGTCGAGCTGCTTTCGACAAGGTTTTCACGACCGTTAGAAGCAGATCGCCAGATCCATTATCTGAGGCACGTCTGGTTAGAGGCAAACACCAGGCTGTTAGTTAACAGCCCAGCTCTTGGTCATTTGTGCTATCCGCGGACTATATTCCAAATGGACGGTCCCTATCAAGAGTGCTGTCTGATATGATAGCTACTGGCTAGGTATGACTCCTTACATTTTGATTGAAATTCAACTCCTCATTTGCACTAGTGACAATATCATCAAGTGCTTAATAGCCACGTGTGACAAGTGGCTATGTGTGTTCATATGATAGAGTGCATATTATGAAGTATTTCTATTCCCAAAGCTCTGTTTTACAATTCTTTGAGCTTGGCATTACCATCCTCATTTTACAGCTGTCAGAACTAAAACTAAGGTTTAGAGATATTAGGCAAATTGTTCATTAAGACTCCTGGAGAATGGTAGAATCCTGCTTCAAACTCCATTCCACTGGGGCCTTCAGCTGTTTTTGACCGCTCACAATGGATTCTGCCCTTTCCTGTTCCTGTTACATTTTCACTACAGGTACACATTCTGATTAACATAGATCTGAAGATTTTGCTATCCAATCGAGGAGTCGATGAATATCCAGAACAAGATGTTCTTTTCCAGCCATGATCAAGTAAAGCTTAAAAAATGACTGAACTGCCCCGGGCTTTGGGGAAGAGCATCTCGTCCCTCTTCTCCCTGCAGCCTCCTCACAGAGCATGGCCCGTGGTTATGACTCTGGCAGGCAGCAGTATGGAAAAGTCCCTTCTGTGAAGGGGAAGCAGACTGGGCCACACAGAAACAGCAGGACTGGCTCAAGTGCCCAAGGTCTGCTTGGGGCACGGGAATTGGCCGTGTGCTATTTAATTTATTAGGAGGAGTGGAGTAGGTGGCTTTTTCCCCCTCCCTCTCCCCCTGACAAGAATAAAGTTTATTAAATTTAAAAAAATGACTGAACTATTAAATTGTCTGATATAGTATTTATATGGCAATAAAACGATTATTTTAAGTTTCCTAAGGGCCCGACAGGGGAAGGTGGAAAGAAACAAGGAGCTAACCACAGTGAGTACAAGAAAGAAAAAAATGCCCTAAAATTATGGCTATGATTGCACACTTTTTAATATGATTGAACTATTGAATAATACGATGTGTGAGTGAACTATGTCAATTAAAAACCAATTTTCTAAAAGGCCTATGCCATTCTCATTAGCTAAATGCTTGAGAGATAGGCAGGGCCCTAAAACTGTAACAGCCTCCCACTCTGTTCTACTCTGCATTCTAGCTATAAATTGTCCTTTATACCTCAGTCCCAGCACCCTGTATCTCTAGTTCATTCAGTTAGGCAGGGTGGGGATCTGAACGAGCCTGATAGGGATGCCAGCTCCTTCTGTGGCTGTGTTTCAGCTCTCAGCTGGTCCTCATATTGCCACTTTCTAAGACTCTAAAGTCCATACTCTACCCCATTACTTTGAATAGGATCCACAGACACAGTCAACTCAGGCAGTGATGCACATGCGTTCCGCTATGATTCTTGGTCTTTTGGCCTTGCATTCAGCGGCCTGTTACTTTTCCTCCAAACCACCCTCCACATTCACAGCAAGCAAAGTTAATCCCTGTACTTTGAATACTTACCCTAGTCCTAACTATGCCAACTCAAAAAAAACACAATTGCACTGCCATCACGTTGACTGGGACCCTGTAGGACAGAGGAGAACTACCTCTGTGGGTTCCCAGCTTATAAATCTTGATGGCATCATTATTGTCCCAACATGTAATACACTACACGTTTCAAATTAGCCTTCCCTTATCTTATTCTCTGTAGTCTTTTGAACTTTGATTACTGTGTGCCATTGAATCAACTCAGACTCATAGTAACCATAAGCAGAGTTACCCCATACTATTCCTCAGAATGTGGAATAAAGCCTTGTATCAATGATTGAGCACCTCTTTGTTCATCTAAAGGTTGGCATTTTCATCTCACTAGCTGCTCCATGTGAGAAAAATCTGGCAGTCTATTTCTGTAAGGATGTACAGCCTTATAACCAGATGTGGAAATGCTATACTTTCCTAGAGAGTCACTATGAGTCTGAATCAATTCAACAAGTTTTTTGGCTTTCTTTGGGTTTGGGTTGATTGTTTTCAGGTTTTATCTTTATAGAAACAAATCACCAGGACTTTTCTCCTGCAGAAGAGTTAATTAAACATCACATCGCCAACCCACTTACAGACACCTAAAAGTGACACATTTAAATGCTCGTAAAGTAATGCATTTTATGTTGTGTAATTGATTTTATGGCAATACAGTAGTTTCACATGCAACAGGTAAAATAGATCTACTAGAAAGGATAATACATAGAACTTCAATATGTTGAATTGATGGATTAATAATAAATATAATTTATTGCCAAAAAAACAACAATGAAACACATTGCATCACCAAGACTCCTTAAATGGTGATCAATATATTTGGGCCTCAATTCAACATCATTTCCATTTTAGCAGAGAATGACAATCATGCACTTTGGGAACTTTCTGATACATCAAGTTTTTAAATGCAAGGTGCACATCCTGTACTTCATCACATCTGAGCAATAACCATAAAAGCCTGTGGAGGAGATATTATATTAAAATAAAATATTAATGAAAGTTAAAATACATTGTGATAGTCAATTATGTGTGTCAACTGAGCTAGGCAATGGTGCCCAATTGTTTGATTTATATTATTATTTTGTCGTGTCTAACACTGTCCAATGTCTCCCTTCACCCACTTTTCTGTTGTCCATCCCCAAGGGAGGAGGTTATATGTAGATCCTTGTAATTGGTTCCCCCTCTCTACCCCACCCTCCCCTCCCCCCATCCCCCGGTATCACCACTCTCACCACTGGTCCTGAAGGGATCATTTGTCATGGATTCCCTGTGTTTCCAGTTCCTATCTGAACCAGTGTACATCCTCTGGTTCAGCCAGATTTGTAAGGTAGGATTGAGATCATGATAGTGGGGGTGGGGGTGGGGTGGGGGCAAGTAAGCATTTAAGAACTAGAGGAAAGTTAGGTATTTCATCATTGCTACACTGCACCCTGACTGGCTCATCTCCCCATGACCTCTCTGCAAAGGGATGTCCAGTTGCCTACCAGTGAGCCTTGGGTCCCCAATCTGCACTCCCCTTAATTCACAATGATATGATTTTTTGTTCTTTGATGCTTGATACCTGATCCCTTCAACACCTCGTGGTCATACAGGCAGATGTGCATCTTCCATGTGGGCTTTCTTGCTTTTCAGCTATATGGCCACTTGTTTATCTTCAAGCTTTTAAGACCACAAATGCTATATCTTTTGATAGCCAGGCACCATAAGCTTTCTTCGCTTATGCACCTGCTTTGTCTTCAGCAATCATGTCAGGAAGGTGAGCATCATGGAGTACCAGTTTAATAGAACAAAGTATTATTGCATTGAGGGAGTACTTGAGTATAGGCCCAATGTCTATCTGCTACCTTAATACTAAACCTATAATATATATATATAATATATAATATAATAAATATAAATATATGCTCATAAATCCATTTCCCCATTGTCATATATAAATATATTTATATATGTACATGCCTGTATTTAGACCTCTATAAATTCCCTTTTCCTCCTAGTTCTTTCCTCTATTTCTTTTTACTTTCCTCTTGTCCCACTACCATGCTCAGACTGTAATTGTTTCATGGGAGTAGAAAACAAGGCTGTAAAACAATGCTTCAGGAATCCCTAACACGTCTGGACTTGACAAATATGTGAACCAATTCCTTTAGAATAGATATAGAGATGTATAGATATATAAAGATATACAAATCATTGGTTCTGAAACTCTAGAGAATTCTAAGACACAATTATAGAGAGGCAAGAAGTAAATTTGTAAAACAAAGTATCGATATGATGATTTTATGCACAATTTTTAAAATGCATATTTCTTAGCAATGTTGAGATTTAGTATAAGTAAATTATATCACCTGGATCCAGTTCACTAATGGTCTAAAGGTGCATAACATATTTAAAATAACATACACAAATTCAAACTTCATTCCAATGTTGGATAAAATAACTTTTGTAGGATCAAAAACACATCAAAAAACAAGCAAGCAGATGGAAATTCCTGAGACGTAAACTAAAAATGGACATGAGATGTTTTACTTTAGGCAACTCTTCTCTGACTTTGTCTCACACATATAAAAATAGTACAATTCAAGCTTTTAGATGAACTTTGATTTGTTGAAAAATTCAATTGGTTAAAATGCTAACCATCTTTAGAGAGAAGCAAGTCTCCTAATAAAACTAATAACTTCATTTATCTTCAGAGAAGAGTCCAGGTGCCTTTGAGTGTACAAATATGATCCTGTGACATAGTGAATGGCATTTTGAAATCTAAACTAGCCCCTCACCTTAAGAAAAGGATTACCGGCTAACCCTCAGGTGACCTACCAGGTTTCATCAAA